AACCACAAATCAAGCCTGGGTTTGCCCCTTGATTCACAAAAACAATCTACTTAATTTCTTTCCTGCACAAGTGCTCAAAGGTTTTCCATTGATTATATTAGCTATTTTGTACAAAAGTCTCTAATTAGACCTGCTGTCAGGCCATAACTCCTAGATGGCTAGGCAGGGTCGGAATGGCAGGAAGCTATAAGTGAAATTAAATTCTGCAGAAAAAGAAACAGCAAGTCATCAAATCCAGGATCTGCCTAACAAAACCAGAGGGCATTCAATTTCAACTGACTGAAAGAACAAATTTGATCTTAATTACTAAGAAGCTCTTACAAGTTGTGAGGAAGTCACAGCTTAAGAAGGATCAGTCTCCTAACTTCTTGATAAATTAGTTTCTCAAGACTAACCTTTTGGATGCCAAAGAAATACATCACATGCATGGCAGTCAGGAAAATGTCAGTGTTCAAGAGGGTAAGGTAAATGGCTAAGTAATCACGAAAATGACATCTATGCATGCTTAACAATATGCTAAGTCTGAAAAATAAAGATTAAATTTAAATATAAAATTTAAAGAAGCACTGCCACACACTGGCAAAAGTGTTTAAAGCTGCCATGCCATCACTTGCCTTAGTTAATTCCAGGTTTTTGCTTCCTAGAATCATATCCTTTTTAGGGTAGTCCTACAGAAATAGGAACAGATGGGTCTTTGTTTCTCCCAGTGTATTCTGAGGGAGGCTACCTCCCACTCCCAGGCACATCAAGACTGTGGTCCCTAATGCGACAAGGTGTGATCTGGCAGGCAGGGCAATCCTGGCTTCTCCATCAATTGGGTGGGAGGAGGAGGCCAAGCCAAGACACTTACACCCTAGACCCTTCATGAATGGGAAACAGGTGCAAAGGCAGGGTGAGTCGAGCAAGCACTGCTCAAAATTCCCTGAAGCTGAACAATTGGGTAGCTCTACTCAACTCTGTGGTCTGTAAACTATAGCAGCAAAACTAGTTACAAAAACCTAAGGAAAGAGTGATACCTGTATTACCAAGAATATTTTACCTCCACTTTATAAAATTGATATTTAGATTAAATATGTTTCACCGTAATAAAGTTCACAGAGAAAAACAAACTAAAAATGTCAACTGAACACTTCATGTGAGTTTAGTAATAAACCCCCTCGTAAAAATGAAAGTCTTCCAAAGTCTCTTCTTATGATAAATTCGCTGCTTCCTGGGTTTTTAATTGCCATTCATCTGAGAGGGTTCTCACTATAACAATGCTGCCTTCTTCCTGCCATTTACTGTTACTGACATCATACTATCTTCTGGATTTTCCAAGAAAAAGATGAAATAAAAGCAGTTTCTTTAGCAGGGGGAATTTTCACTTTCCATATTAACATTACATTATAATCAAATAGTTTCATGAAGTTTTGATCCTAAGGCTGGAAGAACAAAAACACTCTTTAAAAATGCCTCTCTAGAGATACAGCCCAGAAAAAAAAACTCTTCCTAGTATTTTATAAGTATTCTGTGTTTCTCTCCTCCCTATAAAGTATCAATCAAGGCTAATGACTTCAAGCTTACAGAATTACTAAAGTAGAGTAAGTTGTATGTTATTGATAAACTTGAATTTGCACAATTTCTAAGCTCACTGGCTTCGTCACTTTGGGCTACTATAACAAAGTACTTATTTATTTCTCTCAATTCTGGAGGTTTGAAGGCCAAGATCAGGGTGTTAATTTGCCAGGTTCTATTGAGGGCCCTCACCCACATTTGCAGGTTATCACCTTCTTTCGTCCTCACATGGTGGAGAACTAGCACTCTTTGGGGGTCCCTGCTATAATGGTGCTAATCCCATTCATAAGGGCTCCACCCTCATGGCCTTACTACCTCTTACAGGCCCACCTCCAAATACCATCACATTTGGATTGGATTGTCAACATACTGATTTGTAGGGAGGACACAAACATTTAGTCCCCTGCACTCCCCTCTGAAGAAATAAGTCATTTGCAAGAGATTTTCTAAACACTAAGCACAGGTCACCACTCTCCGAGTTCTTGAGGAGCCACTTCATCTAAGCTACAATCTGTTCAATTGCAAAAGAAGATGATTGGTGTTTCAGAAAAGGTGAATTCCTGAGCCTCACTGGAGAGACAGTGTAGCATAGTATAAAGAGCACTGACCACGAAGTTAGGAGATACCACCACGCACATGCAACATCACAGAATTTACTTAAAAGAACAGGGTAGGCTTCAACTCTGTGCACAGAACCATGAAGCATTACTGGAGTACTGCAAGAGGCCTAGCATGGTCCACAGTGAATAAATGCTATGTCTAGCACACAATGTGTTATTTATTCCCAACACACTGTTTGAATAATAAAGATCATATTAATGTAATGTGTTAATGACATGTAATAGATTTTGTCACCATGAATTTTCTTACGGAAAAGATACTGGAAGTTTTTGAGGTTTAAAAGACAGTCCTGTTTATTCAAAAGTTAAGAATCATTGGTCTAGATCTCTAGGTAATTACCAAAAGTCCTTTACAGGGATTAATGTATAACCTATGAATCTATCCTTCCTGACACAGCAGCAGTCACCCATAACAGAGGTGAGGAAAGAAATACATTATCCAATACCAGACATTACCACCTTAGTTTTTAAAAGTCTTAAAAACCAAAGGGAAAGAATTTGCATTTTAGTCAACTACCATCAAACATTTCTATTACATCCTAGGCAATTTAAACATTTCTCTGTGGCCTGAAAAGCATGGAAGAGAGGAATGAGTGTACAGTGTATACCCAGTCATCATTATTTAGACTTACAGCCTATCTTTACAAGTATTACGATGGCAGTAATACTAAATGCCTTTTAAAAACCATTTAATACCTTCTACAACTTTTATGGTACATCAAATTACAAGCTTACTCCCGTGAAAGAAAATTACCTATATTCTAACACAGCTGCATATAAAATGAATAATTGATAAGTGAGGGCAAAGAGCTTTGAAAACTTAGAGGTATCATATGGATGATAAAAAAAATAATAATAATGCAGGCAGACAACCAGTGCTCTAAAACTCAGCAGCTATTCAATAAAAAACAATCAGTGCAGTTGGGCAGGTGCCTGTGAGGGTTTTCAAAAACTTTCTTTTTTTATGGAAAGCAGCTCTAAAGGTTCTCTATCCCACTTGGACAAAAGGCAATGTCTCATAGCAAATACAACGAGTCACTTGAGAGGTTATGGGACAATGGCAAGTGCAAAGGTTTGAGCTTGCAGGCCACTGCAATGAATTTCCCTGGGGCTCACAGTGACTAAAGAAGGTACAGGTCTCATGGGGAGGACTGCCACTGAGAATCCCTCCACACTGGTTCATTCACTGGCATCTTCTGCCACCAGCCTGGGAACAACAGGCTAAATCTCCTAAGAATTCCTCCATATCCAAGCTCAGCACGAGGACCAATATTTCACTGTCTTGACTCGGTGAAATATTGACTGTGGTAGTCATACATTTCAATGTAGATCTTTACTGTATCGACCCTTTCACTTTCACTGTTTTTATATGGGACGCTGAAGTGTACTGTGAAAAATTATTTTTGCATAGACCTAAAAACAACTAATCATTTCCTCTCTTTCTTACCATCAAACGCTTACAGAATCAAAAGCAGGATGACAAAGTTTTTTTTTTTTAATGTTAGCACATTTTTCATATAACTCATTACCATCAGCTATGAAACTGGGGCTGAGAAGACAGTCTTACTCTCTCCTAATTCTGATCCTGCCCTTCCTACTCCTACCAGGGTGAAGTTAAACTGACTATATGACTATTAAATCCCCTTAATCACTGAGCTATGTTTTTTTAAATACCTGAACCCCCCAAATGCTTCTTTGCTGTCCCCACATTCATTCCTCAATTCCTTCTCTACTTCTATGCACCTTTTCTCATTTTCTTTCAAACATGGAGGATTTGGCAGTTAGAAATTTATGGTGATGAAGGTCCAGGAACATTAGAAAAAGTAAATTAGACTAAATGCAGACTTGGAATTCTTCATGAGGAAACCTACAGGGAAGAGTCAACAAAGAAGAAAGGTCTTACATCATGCCTTGAACTTGGTTTCCTGAAAGCACGTCTTTCCCATTTGGATGGCCTTAATCTACTTTACTTCCAACAGAGCCAGTCTGTTCCCTTTCAGACATAAATACAGGCCTGAACATTATGAAAAATCAGCAACCAACATACTCAACTCAATTAGCCTCTTTTATGGCATTAATTGCATATTCTTTAGGGAATAAAAGGAAAAGTGAAGCTGTGGTTTGTCTCTCCCAGATAATTTCTGAAAGGATTCTCTCTGGGGCTCAATAAATTCTAAGAAGCACCCTCACCTAACTTCAAAGTGAAAATCCAGATAGGCAAGCCAAAGGTTTTCGTTTCCACACCTTCTGGCTTTTCATCTGACCACAGACCACTGTGGGATTGCAGAGGCCCCACAATAGGAAGAAGCGACTGCACCATCCATCTCCTGAGGTCCAGCTCAGCTTGATTCCTGCTTGCCAGAGATGAGCTTGAACTAACTCAGCAGAGAGACTGAATGAATCCTGCTTTTCATCAGAGCAGAGCTGCAGGCAGCACTTGGTGAGCTGACCCACTTCCTAGTAGTCAAGAAACAACCTCAGTGCCATGATGCACATCCCTCAGTTATCTCTGCCAAGGGGCTGCAGACCTCTGTTGCTGCTCTGGTGTTGTACAGGTTGCCAGGCAAGCACACACCAGGCCCACCACAGGCAACAGAGCCTAGGACCTCAGGGCCAGGCTGTGAGACACTACCATGCTTCCATCAGTCGCTCTCTTTGGAAATGAACTTAAAAGATGGGGACAGGAAATTGGAGTAATTTAACAGGACTTTTTTTCTTTCCATTTAGTGGTAACTGATAAGGAAGATAATGCTTTGTGACTTTCTGAATTAAGAACCTCCCAATTAAGCTATGTCACTAATCAGGATAGAATATAAAATGCCTTACCATATGGATACTTGGTATCCAGCTTATTGTCTGCTATTCTCCTCCAGGGCAAAAGGTCATCACTGCAACCATTTGGCATTCCATTGTACCCAATCCCAACAATCTTGTTTTCTGTATTCACAATGCAGGCTCCAACCTACAGGGAAACACATACAAAACCTTGGTGGCTACAATTAGCTGGTCTACCACTGGGTGGGCAGTGAAGAAAACTAGAGTCTCTAAGGGAAATGTATGCATGCAGGACTACAGCACAAAGGCAGCAGACTTACTCTGCATTTGCATGTTGACAGGCCTCCCCTTTTGTATTCTATTCACTTGTAAGCAACACTCTGTGACTACCTATACATCCCCTGTGAAACTCATTTACCTGGGAATTTGGATCTTTGCTTCTCTGTGCTGATAAGAAGGCCACTGCCATGAAATACTCAGGCCATTCCAAATAGTCATCCCGTTTTTTGCAGGAAACTTCACTCATGTTGAATCTAGAGAAAATGTGAAAAAAAAGTATTTTGGTAAACCTGCTTTTTGATTCAATGCACCAAACTAAACTCTGGGTCTCTAAACAGACAATTTTAACTACATTTATCAATCAGGAGTCACAAAACATGGACCTTGGACAGTCTCTGGTCTTTAAAAAAATAATTTTACTATTTCAGAATGAAATTGGCACCTATGACTAGCTTCACATTCCCAACCATTTCATCTTTTTACTGCTGTCTCATGGGATATTTTTTCAAGTTACTACATACAACAGACCTACAAATTGCTCTTCCTCCCTTATAATTTGGAGTCAGCACAGGAAGGAGAGTATAAAAGAAATGTTTATTGATCACCTAATAGATTTCAAACAGCTTGTTTATATACATCATCTCGCTCAAGCCTCATTTCTTGCTAAGGTAGGCAGTAACATCCCATCTTACAGATTTAGTAAACTTAGGGAATTTGCCCTAAGCCACACAGGAATATTATCCATGCCCCTTGGACTCCCAAGTCAACATCTAAAGCTGTCCCAATTGAAAATTAACCAGATAATTCCTTTCCCTAGATGGAACTGAAGTTATAGAAATTCTGACGACCAGATCAAATGAAAACTAAGAAAAGTGTTATTTCTTTTTTTTTTAATTTTTAAAAATACACTGTTATATATTTAAAATTTACATGTGAAACCCCAGGGGATTGAACTTTTTGAAAGATGAAAAGTATTACAAGTGTGGCAGATGCCTAGAATTTAATAAAGCATAATAATTGACACCTTAAAAAAATCACAATAAACTATTTCTAAACTCGGGTTTCTGCAACGCGGGTTTCACTCAGGGCAGGCACAACAATAAGGAGAGCCCATGAAGGTGGTCTAGACCTTCAGGTAGAAAGTCTTTCAAAAAAAGAAAAAAGATCCCTCAATTACTCAGATCACTGAAAAAGTCTAAAAAAAAAAAAAAAAGCGAGAAATTCTCAAAACTTCCACTTCAAGCTTTGGACTCTAAACTTTGGCTCTAAGCAGTGCAGAAGTGCCTGAAAAGGATAAATGATATTTAACAGGTTAAATGCCCACTGATTCTGTTGCCTCAGTTCTGAGGAGCCTGCAAACCCTCTTAACTAGAACACCCAGATGCTGTATTGGCCTGGTTGCCCACCTGGCGTAAGGACTGGCACCTGCAAAGGCTATAGAGTGCCACGTAAGTACCTACTAAACAGGAGCGAGAGAGGAAATGGGGGAAGGCAGGCCAGGAGGGGAAAGCGGTGCATTACCCCGCTGCACGCCTGACCTGTCCTGTGCCCACTGGAGCCCTGGGAGGACTGACACCCAGCTGCACAAACGGAAGGGACCCGGGGCTGGTACACAACTAGTCCTGGAAGACCGAGCTAGCCCGACGCCTGGGCAAACCCAGGACTCCAAAACTCCCTCAGCTCTGATCCAGAAACGAAAGCCCGCGTTCCCGCCCCAACACGTGGACGCCAGAAGGACTGCTATTTTCAGACTCCCAGAACCAACTCCCGCCGCCACCGCGAGGGAGAAAGCTCGGCAGAGGCAGCAGCTTTCGCCGTTAAATGAACCCCGGCGTGCCCGAGAGAAGCCGAGCCCCCGCCGCCACCCCAGGTGGTCCACTGTCAAGTTTCCCGCGGAGCAGGACTTCCTCAGGGCTCGCCACGCCCGACCCAGGCCCTCGAGCCGGGTACCCCGCTCCCCGGGGAGCCACGTGGCGCGCGGCCGCG